AACACGCTATTTGTTGTTTGTTTATATCACCAGTCTGTCTTCCGGTTGTTGCTCTTTTGAATGACGAATACACACTACCGCCGCCTGCTGGTAAGGAGAGTTATTGCCACTCACTCATGCGCAGTTCGTACGTGCTACTTGGCCGTCGGGTAAAGTCTTTGCGGTTCGTTCCAGTGCGACTGTTGGCCAAGAAGCAGGAGACGTGAGGCGACACAACAGTCGTGTTCCGTCGGGACGTGTTCTTTGGTGTCAGTTTGGTGTGTCAGGGCCTTTAACAATATCTGACAACATTGAACGTGCTAAAGGACCTATTCAGAACATACCAACCAGGAAAAAGAGCAGGAAGTACAACCTGAAGGTCCGTTGCAAAATTCCGACTGACTCCAGGAAACCTCTATTGTTGTTCTCTCCCTCTTCTTTGTCCTCTTGCGTAAGTACATTGAAAGCAAAACACTGGAGTCAAATTTCTTGTATGTGTACACATACCTCCAGTAAAGGTGACTCAGATTCTATCTATGTATCTGAAATGTCCTTATTGGCAGCCCTTTGTCCTGTTGCACTGCAAAAACTCCTGATCCTGCCAAGACATACCATCTTATAACTAGCCATGAATTTTGACTGAACTTATTTTGAAAATAGTGCACTATGCAAGAGCTGCTTGTGTAAGATGGTGAAGCGTGTTTTAAGAACTTCTACGCACTTACTTCAAATTAGGCATCTTACAAACAAATTAAGCCCAATTACTAGTTGTGTGAAAATGAAATCTTGATATTTATTCACAAAGCAATGACAAATACGTGTTTTTCTGATTGTTTTAGGACATTTGTCACTTTTCTTTTCTTCCATATGTCTTTCTCATTTAAAAATTCTTATTCTAATTTAAGGATTCTTATTAAGCCTATCTCATGCCACTGGCAGATTATTATACTTGATTCAAATCGGTATTTACTCAATACACCCACCTTTTTTCTTTTTTTAAGAGCGATGTTTTTTTCCAGTGTGCATACCATGAAATAGTGATATACTATACTTATCTTTTTATTTATTTTATCTTATAATGTATGATAAATGAATTATTTAGTTAGTTTAAGAGAGGATTCTGGTCTAAAGAATTATTTTCATCTGTGATTTTTGCTTGATGAATTTAAACCTCTTGTTTTATCAGTCAAAAAACCAAGTCAAACAGTGAAAAACCAGAAATGTCCTTATTTGAGACAGCACTTTCTTCCATTTTTCGACAACAAAAATGACATCACAGAGTAACCTATTAGCAAAATAGCTGCCATAATTCCTCTGTTGATCGATGTATCGTTTGTTTACTCATCATTGGAGCGCTATAAATCAGCCCTTCTCATGCACTCTGAGATGGAAGATTATGTTGTTTACATAGCCTGATGGGTATCAGATGAAAGGTGTTATCTCTCACAGGATACACTTTCACACCAGGGCCTAAGGCCTCGTCCACACGGAGATGAAAATGAAAACGAACCGATGTCGATATCAAAAAATTCTTCCGTCCACACGGAATCGGCTCAAGAAACGTGTCCATCCACACGAGACTGCTCAACTCGCTGGAGGCGCTGTAGTACATATGCCGGGCTGTACTTCCGCCACAAAATACACCAAAAGCAGCGAAGAAGACCCCCCGAGCATGGTTGCCATGGTTACCTGGTTGCCCTTCTGGTTATTCTCCGCGGTGGATTTAGCAACATGTAGTTCATGTAGTTCTCCATGTCCACTTGTTGCTGATGGTTGTGGTAGAGGAGCTGTAGATTTTGCACTAACATCTGTATCATGGTCAGTAGCACGAACGCAACCCTTTGATCCGGCATTGTTGTTGATGTTGGCGAAACACATCAGCAATGACGCGGGTGACGCGGGGGTGAGCAGGAGAGGTGGGGAGAGGCGGGGCTATGATCATTTAGGGCGTACACACGGTGCCGCAAGCGTTACGTTACCAGACCTTCCCACTTT